CATCAGTACACTGCCTCTGGTGGCTACATAGCACACTGCACAGGGGACATTGTGGTGGTTGGACTGAGACAGAGATGGCATTGTAGCAAACCAGTACTCGACCGGAGCCACGAAATTCTTGTTAGTCACTCCTCTGATGTACTGGAGATAGCCAGGATCATCTGGCATGCAGAGATAGTTGGCTGCCCCTCCCTTGTGATCATACCTTGTCCCCCCAGCTCTTCCAGAGTAAACCAGCTGTGTTCCCTGGCCGGTTGGACAGGTGGTGTTTCCCCAGCGAGTGTAGACAGCTCCTCCAACTGGCAGACCTTGGGCTCCTTGCTCCCCCTGACGACCTCTTAGCCCAGGGTCTCCCCTCATTCCCTTCTCCCCCCTCTTCTCCCCTCTCACCTCTCTCCCCCACTGCCCCCCGGGGACCAGATATTCCTATTGTCCCCTGAAAACCAGGAACCCCCATCTCTCCCTGGGGTCCAGGGAGACCGATACCCCTGACCTCTCCCTTTTCTCCCTTTGCTCCATCTCTCCCATCTCTCCCATCCCTTCCCCTCAGTAGGTGAAACTGCGGACAAGAACCTGAGCCTATGAGATTGAAGAACAGAAATGGGAACATCTAGTTTCTATGAGTATGTGCATACATCTTCTCACTAACCTTCATCATGGCCTGTACAGTCACTGACACATATGATTGCTGCCAGTATGCCAAGTGGCAGAAGGTTTTTCAGTGCCACAAACATTCTTTTTCTCCTAGTGATACTTCAGTGATTCTCCTTGGCTATAGTTCTTGCAGAAAAGAGCTCTACCACAGGTTTTTATATCCTCGACTTCTCCCCCAAGATGCTCAGTTAGGAGTGTGCCATAAGATCTTGTATCTCTAGTACTGTGTTTACAGTTTTTGACTGCAGAGCGGAAGCCGAGAGTTTGGTTAATCTCACGCAATGCTTGTTGTCTCACCCTCACGCAATGTAGTCATAGTCACCCTATCTTGCCGGCGTGGCTCTGTTTACTGCCACACTGCAATGCCGCAATACTTTCTACCAATTACTCTTTGAGGATAAACATGTCAAAATAGAACAGTAGGACATTTAAACCCAAACACTTTCTTCAGTATCTACACAACTAGCTCATAAGAATATAATGGAAGATGATAGTACTTTACATTATTCACATGAAGATCATTTTCTCCTTTCTCTATAGCTAGTTAATATGCAACCAGCTAGCTTCTCTTTACGCTCATTAATGGTCTGAATACGTTCGCTCTGTTCAAACACTTTCGTCCAGAAATCATACATATACAACTTGTTTTTCGTTAAAGTTATACTCTGCACGGAGAGAATTTTCTGCAAGCCAAACATTGCAAGGAGTTTTGTTAAACTCCCCTCCAATGCACACGAAGTAGGCAAAGCCATGCATAATTTTCGCCATCTTCATTTCTACTCCCTGGTGGACAGGTGGTGTTTCCCCAGCGAACATAAACAGCTCCTCCAACTGGCAGTATTCCTGGATCTCCCTTTTCTCCCTTTTCTCCCATCTCTCCCATCTCTCCCATCCCTAGCTCAAACTGTGGACAAAAATCTGAGCCTATGAGATTGCAAAACGGAAAACAGCAGTGAAAGTAACATATCTGCTCCGTGCATTTCTCTCTAACTCTCATTTTGACTTGTGTCGACACTGACTGCAATGAAACCAGTCAATATGCCAAGTTCCAGGAGGATTTTGAGGCCCAGAAACATTTCATTTCTTCCTGAATAGTTACCGTCGGTGATCTGCTTTGGCTAGTGGGGTGAATGGAAGTGAGAGGCCTTTTATTGCCCCCAAAGTTTGCTCAAAATGATTGACTAGGTGTTTTCTTCTTCAAGATACAGCATTATAGTATTTGTATACTGGATGGAGAGCGGAAGCAGTGAGTTCGCGCAAGGCGCAGGCATGTTTTCTCTCCCTCACGCAATGTGTTCTTAGCCACCCACACTCTTTCTAATGTGGCCCTGTTTACTGGGCAGTGCAAGACTCATTCACTGCATTTCATACACATGTAATGCACGGTACTATGTCATTAAACCAGCCACTATGTAAGTCACGATTTGTTTACTTCTTCTCGAAGTAAAAGCATAGCAGAGAGCGAGAAAAGGTATTCTAGAACAGCATCTTTTGTTTGTCAGGTTTAATGGGAGAAAAGGCTACTCTTCATTTAGTTCCATTCAACCTCTCTTCCCTGTCTTTACTTTATTACTGTATAGCAAAAATATAGGCTAAACATTTGCAGGATTGTGGATTCTGTGTCTGCTGCATGGCACAGTGCGTTACCCCATTGCACAATGTTGGTACAGAGTGCCCCATACTGTTAACACTCTGTTTACCTTCTAAGCGTATCAGCAAAAGATGAAGGTAATTCCCAAACAGGTATAAATGTGTTGACACCATACATTAGCATAGTGTGCAGATCAAACACTACAGTGTGTTAACTAAAGTCCTCAATCAGTCAGTGGGGATATATCTATGTGTGAAACAGGGAAAAAACTAGGCATAAATTGTTTATGGCCATCAGTAGACAATCTCACACTGAACATCTCAATTTTGTGAGTTCTATGCCATCAAACACCACCACCAAGTTTATGTATATAGTGAGTTTATTTTCTACACATATCGATCAAAGTATAAGGCATACATACATAACTATATACATTCATACAATGTTCGTTAAACTACATTGTCTTTGTTGAAATATAGTGTTTATTTCAACGAGTGCAAACAGCACACGTCAGTTCTTTCTCTGCATCATAAGGAGGGCAGGAGAATCCATTGCAGTATGCCTCATTCCACTCAAAGACACAATGTGGATTACTGAAAGCATTCAGTCCAGTAACAGACCCAGGGTTTACGTCAATACATTCATACATTGTACGACCATCATAGTTATGATAGTTAGACATCAGGTAACCATAGTACTCTCTGGTCCAGCCTGCATGACACTGGGTCTTGGCAGGCACCATCAGTACACTGCCTCTGGTGGCTACATAGCACACTGCACAGGGGACATTGTGGCTGTTGAACTGAGACAGAGATGGCATAGTATCAAACCAGTACTCAACAGGGGCCACGAAATTCTTGTTGGTCACTCCACTGATGTACTGGAGATAGTCCGGATCATCTGGCATGCAGAGATGGTTGGCTGCCCCTCCTTTATGATCATATCTTGTCCCCCCAGCTCTTCCTGAATACACCAGCTGTGTTCCCTGGTCGGTTGGACAGGTGGTGTTTCCCCAGCGAGTGTAGACAGCTCCTCCAACTGGCAGACCTTGGGCTCCCTGTTCTCCCTGACGACCTCTTAGCCCAGGGTCTCCCCTCATTCCCTTCTCCCCCATCTCTCCCCTCTCACCTCTCTCCCCCACTGCCCCCCGGGGACCAGATATTCCAATTGGCCCCTGAATACCCGGAGCCCCCATCTCTCCCTGGGGTCCAGGGAGACCGATACTCTTGACCTCTCCTTTTTCTCCCATTGCTCCATCTCTCCCATCTCTCCCATCCCTTCCCCTCAGTAGCTCAAACTGCGGACAAAAATCTGAGCCTATGAGATTTGCAAAACGGAAAACAGCAGTGAAAGCAATATATCTGCTCCGTGCATTTCTCTCTAACTTTCATTTTGACTTGTGCTGACACTGACTGCAATGAAACCAGTCAATATGGCAAGTTTCAGAAAGATTTTGAGGCCCAGAAACATTTTTTTCTTCCTGATAGTTACCGTCGGTGGGCTGCTTTAGCTAGTGGGGTGAATGGAAGTGAAAGGCCTTTTATTGCCTCCAAAGTTTGCTCAAAATGCTTGACTAGGTGTTTTCTTCTTCAAGATACAGCATTATAGTATTTGTATACTGGATGGAGAGTGGAAGCAGTGAGTTCACGCAGGGCGCAGGCATGTTTTCTCTCCCTCACGCAATGTGTTCTTAGCCACCCACACTCTTTCTGATGTGGCCCTGTTTACTGGGCAGTGCAAGACTCATTCACTGCATTTCATACACATGTGACAGTTTAATGTACGGCACTATCTCATTAAACCTGCTCCAATGTTAGTCACCATTGGTTTACTTCTTCTCAAAGTAAAAGCATGACAGAGAGCGAAAAAATGTATGCTATTATTTCCCTTATAGAACAGCATCTTTTGTTTGTCAGGTTTAAGGGGAGAAAAGGCTCTTCTTCATTCAGTTTTCATTCAACCTCTCTTCCCTCTCTTTACTTTATTACCGTAGAGCAAAAATATAGGCTTACCTATGCATGGCGCAGTGCGTTATCCCATCACACCATGTTGGTACAGAGTGCCCCATAGTGTAAACACTCTGTTTTCCTTCTAAGCGTATCACCAAAAGATGAAGGTAATTCCCAAACAGGTACATAGGTAGCAAATGTGTTGACACCATACATTATTAGCCCATAGTTTGCAGATGAAACACTACAGTGTGTTAACTAAAGTCCTCAATCAGTCAGTTGGGATATATCTATGTGTGAAACAGGAAAAGCACTGAAGTGCAAACCCTCGGCGCACTGTGACGCGCACGCGTAAGTAAACGCATGCGCCGTACCACTAATTGATGGGCTGGGTTTAGTTTTAGCTGTTACTCGTGGTCTCTTGCCAGCTCGCGCAGTCTGACGCGGGCTAACTACACTACTAGAGAGGCGATACGCGCCCTGCGTTGCATCTTCTGGTGCCTCCGAGGTACGCAGAGCACGCGGATCGATCAGACCGTGGTAAGCCATCCCGTCCGTTGTGGATTTGCATATTGGCTTTTTCGCGCTGTAGCTACCTCTGCAACGGAGCATTTCAGAGAAAACCCCACATATTTTCTGACCTTCGTCGCCCGTTCAGTAGGTGGTATCCTTTGTGAGACGAACGAACACTCGAGAAGTGAGATGATGAGTAACAGACTACCGTAACCCTCGCTGCGCATGCGCGCCGAGGGTTACCTAGACATTGAGTATAATCTCAAATTGTTTATGGCCATCAGTAGACAATCTCACACTATACATCTAAATTTTGTGAGTTCCATGCCAGTATTGCTTTATCAAACACCACCACCAACTTTATGCAATGAGTTTATTTTCTACACATATCGATCAAAGTATAAGGCATACATACATAAATATAATACATTCTACATACAACGTTTGTTAAACTACATTGCCTTTGTTGAAGTATAGTGTTTGTTTCAACGAGTGCAAACAGCACACGTCAGTTCTTTCTCTGCATCATAAGGAGGGCAGGAGAATCCATTGCAGTATATCTCATTCACGTCAAAGAAGGACCTTGGGTTACTCTCAGCATTCAGTCCAGGAACTGACTCAGGGTCTTTGTCAACACACTCATACATTGTACGACCACCATTGTTATAATGGTTGGACATGAGGTAACCATAGTACTCTCTGGTCCAGCCTGCATGACACTGGGTCTTGGCAGGAACCATCAGTACACTGCCTCTGGTGGCTACGTAGCACACTGCACAGGGGACATTGTGGTGGTTGGACTGAGACAGAGATGGCATTGTAGCGAAATAATACTCGACCGGAGCCACGAAATTCTTGTTAGTCACTCCACTGATGTACTGGAGATAGTCAGGATCATCTGGCATGCAGAGATGGTTGGCTGCCCCTCCATTGTGGTCATATCTTGTCCCCCCAGCTCTTCCAGAGTAAACCAGCTGTGTTCCCTGGCCGGTCGGACAGGTGGTGTTTCCCCAGCGAGTGTAGACAGCTCCTCCAACTGGCAGACCTTGGGCTCCCTGTTCTCCCTGACGACCTCTTAGCCCAGGGTCTCCCCTCATTCCCTTCTCCCCCATCTCTCCCCTCTCACCTCTCTCCCCCACTGCCCCCCGGGGACCAGATATTCCAATTGGCCCCTGAATACCAGGAGCCCCCATCTCTCCCTGGGGTCCAAGGAGACCAATACCCCCGACCTCTCCCTTTTCTCCCTTTGCTCCATCTCTCCCATCTCTCCCGTCCCTTCCCCTCAGTAGCTCAAACTGCGGACAAGAACCTGAGCCTATGAGATTGATAAACAGAAATGGGAACATCTAGTCTCTATGAGTCTGTGCATACATCTTCTCACTAACCTTCATCATGGCCTGTACAGTCATTGACACATATGATTGCTGCCAGTATGCCAAGTGGCAGAAGGTTTTTCAGTGCCACAAACATTTTCTTCTCCCAGTGATACTTCGGTGATACTCTTTGGCTATAGTTCTTGCAGAAGAGAGCTCTACGACAGGTTTTTATACCCTCGACTTCTCCCCCAAGATGCTTAGTTAGGAGTGTGCCATAAGATCTTGTATCTCTAGTACTGTGTTTACAGTTTGTGACTTCAGAGCGGAAGCCGAGAGTTTGGTTAATCTCACGCAATGCTTGTTGTCTCACCCTCATGCAATGTAGTCATAGTCACCCTATCTTGCCGGCGTGGCTCTGTTTACTGCCACACTGCAATGCCGCAATACTTTCTACCAATAACTTTGAGGATAAACATAGCAATATACAACAGTAGGACATTTATTCCTAAGCACTTTCTTCAGTAACTGCACAACAGACTATGAAGATAATGGAAGATGATAGTACTTTACTTATTCGCATCGAGATCGTTTTCTAGCTCCACCATAGCTAGTTATACAGCCAGCAAACTTCTCTTTATACTCAGTTTGTGAATACGTTTGCTTAGTTTACCTTCATCCAGAAATCACACACGAGTCGCTCTGTGGTGTAAGCTGTAATATGCACAGAGGGTGATTTTTCAAAGTAATACAAGCCAAACATTGCAAACAAAGAGTTTTGTTAAACTCCCCCTCCAATGCACACGAAGTAGGCAAAGCCGTGGAAAATTTTGCCCATCTTCATTTCTACTCCCTGGTTATGTTTCCCCAGCGAGTGTAGACAGCTCCTCCAACTGGCAGTATTCCTGGATCTCCCTTTTCTCCCTTTCCTCCCTCTCACCCATCTCTCCCATCCCTTCCCCTCAGTTACTCAAACTGCGGACAAGAACCTCCTGAGCCTATGAGATTGCAAAACGGAAAGCAGCAGTGAAAACAATATATCTGCTCCGTGCATGTCTCTCTAACTTTCATTTTGACTTGTGCCGACACTGACTGCAATGAAACCAGTTAATATGCCGAGTTCCAGTAGGATTTTTAGGCCCAGAAACATTTCATTTCTTCCTGATAGTTACCGTCGGTGATCTGCTTTGGCTAGTGGGGTGAATGGAAGTGAGAGGCCTTTTATTGCTCCCAAAGTTTGCTCAAAATGCTTGACTAGGTGTTTTCTTCTTCAAGATACAGCATTATAGTATTGTATACTGGATGGAGAGCGGAAGCAGTGAGTTCACGTAGGGCGCAGGCATGTTTTTTCTCCCTCACGCAATGTGTTCTTAGCCCCCCACACTCTTTCTAATGTGGCCCTGTTTACTGAGCAGTGCAAGACTTGTTTGCTGCATTTCATACATATGTGAGAGTTTAATGTACGGCACTGTCTCATTTAACCTGCCACAATGTAAGTCACAATTGGTTTACATTTTCTCAAAGTTTGTAAAAGCATGACAGACAGCGAGAAAAAGTATGCTATTTTCCCCTTTTAGAACAGCATCTTTTATTTGTCAGGTTTAAGGGGAGAAAGGCTCTTCTTCATTCAGTTTTCATTCAACCTCTCTTCCCTCTCTTTACTTTATTACCGTAGAGCAAAAATATAGGCTTACCTGTGCATGGCGCAGTGCGTTATCCCATCGCACCATCTTGGTACAGAGTGCCCCATACTGTTAACACTCTGTTTTCCTTCTAAGCATATCACAAAAAGATGAAGGTAACTTCCAAACAAGTACATAAGTAGCAAATGTGTTTACACCATACATTAGTCTATAGTTTGCAGATGAAAAGCTACAGTGTGTTAACTAAAGTCCTCAATCAGTCAGTGGGGATATATATGTGAAACAGAAAAAAAACTAGACAATAACTATAATCTCAAATTGTTTATGACATGGCCATCAGTAGACAACCTCACACTGAACGTCTCAATTTTGTGAGTTCTGTGCCAGTATTGCTCTATCAAACACCACCACCAAGTTTATGCAATGAATTTATTTTCTACACATGTCGATCAAAGTGTAAGGCATACATACATAACTATATACATTCTACATACAATGTTTGTTAAACTACATTGTCTTTGTTGAAGTGTAGTGTTTGTTTCAACGAGTGCAAACAGCACACGTCAGTTCTTTCTCTGCATCATAAGGAGGGCAGGAGAATCCATTGCAGTATATCTCATTAAAGTGAAAGAAAGACCTTGGGTTACTGTAAGTATTCAGTCCAGGAACTGACTCAGGGTCTTTGTCAATACACTCATACATTGTACGACCAGCATGGCAATGATGGTCTGACATGAGGTAACCATAGTACTCTCTGGTCCAGCCTGCATGACACTGGGTCTTGGCAGGAACCATCAGTACACTGCCTCTGGTGGCTACGTAGCACACTGCACAGGGGACATTGTGGTGGTTGGACTGAGACAGAGATGGCATTGTAGCGAAATAATACTCGACCGGAGCCACGAAATTCTTGTTAGTCACTCCACTGATGTACTGGAGATAGTCAGGATCATCTGGCATGCAGAGATGGTTGGCTGCCCCTCCATTGTGGTCATATCTTGTCCCCCCAGCTCTTCCAGAGTAAACCAGCTGTGTTCCCTGGCCGGTCGGACAGGTGGTGTTTCCCCAGCGAGTGTAGACAGCTCCTCCAACTGGCAGACCTTGGGCTCCCTGTTCTCCCTGACGACCTCTTAGCCCAGGGTCTCCCCTCATTCCCTTCTCCCCCCTCTCTCCCCTCTCACCTCTCTCCCCCACTGCCCCCCGGGGACCAGATATTCCAATTGGCCCCTGAATACCAGGAGCCCCCATCTCTCCCTGGGGTCCAAGGAGACCAATACCCCCGACCTCTCCCTTTTCTCCCTTTGCTCCATCTCTCCCATCTCTCCCATCCCTTCCCCTCAGTAGGTGAAACTGCGGACAAGAACCTGAGCCTATGAGATTGAAGAACAGAAATGGGAACATCTAGTTTCTATGAGTATGTGCATACATCTTCTCACTAACCTTCATCATGGCCTGTACAGTCACTGACACATATGATTGCTACAAGTATACCAAGTGGCAGAAGGTTTTTCAGTGCCACAAACATTCTTTTTCTCCCAGTGATAGCTACTTCGGTGATTCTCCTTGGCTATAGTTCTTGCAGAAGACAGCTCAACCACAGGTGTTTATACCCTCGACTTCTCCCCCAAGATGCTCAGCTAGGAGTGTGCCATAAGATCTTGTATCTCTAGTACTGTGTTTACAGTTTTTGACTGCAGAGCGGAAGCCGAGAGTTTGGTTAATCTCACGCAATGCTTGTTGTCTCACCCTCACGCAATGTAGTCATAGTCACCCTATCTTGCCGGCGTGGCTCTGCTTACTGCCACACTGCAATGCTCAATACTTTCTACCAATAACTCTCTGAGGATAACATGCAAATAGAACAGTAGGGACATTAAGACCAAAACACTTTCTTCAGTAACTACACGACTGGCTCAGAAGAATATAGTGGCAGATGATAGTACTTTACATATCACATGAAGATCATTTTCTCTTTCTCTATAGCTAGTTAATATGCAACCAGCTAGCTTCTCATTAATGGTCTGAATACGTTCGCTCAGTTTGAAACACTTTCGTCCAGAAATCATACATATACAACTTGTTTTGGCAATTACCTGCACGAGAGAATTTTCTACAAGCCAACATTGCAAGGAGTTTGTTAAACTCCCCTCCAATGCACACAAGTAGGCAAAGCCATGGAGAATTTTCGCCATCTTCATTTCTACTCCCTGGTGGACAGGTGGTGTTTCCCCAGCGAACGTAAACAGCTCCTCCAACTGGCAGTATTCCTGGATCTCCATTTTCTCCCTTTGCTCCCTCTCTCCCATCTACTCCCATCCCTACCCTCAGTAGCTCAAACTGCGGACAAGAACCTGCAGCCT